AAGAAAGTAACTAATATATATATATATATATATATATATATATATATATATGTGTGATATGGATATGGTGTAAACATGCACATGTGCACTCGCTAATAGTCAAGGTACACAATTCAATGCGATGATTGTGATTTTAGTTTGCTTTCTCAGTAATGAAACAAAGAACTGTAAAAAAGAGTGTGTCTTAATAATATCCATAACTCTAATATATTTCCTCCTTAAAATATTTAGAAAAGTAAAGAAAAAAAGGACATATGGCTTGAGTAAGGCAATGTGTTTTCACTAACCTAGGAGTGTTTAAGAATTACGGTAATGAATTCGAACAGTCGATTCCGCTTTCTCTATATTTTATCCTATTCCTTATATTTATGTCACTCTGTAGGATAAAACTCAAACACTATTAACAGTTATATTTTCAGAGGTAAAATTTTGCCTGCATAAACAGGTGCTTCACCGCACATGCGTCTCAGATTGCAGAGGGTTTAGTCCAAAGGTCATCAACTTTAGCGATTCAAAGACATCTCAAAACTAAGTCTATGGAGGAAGCACTCTCTGCCGACATCATGACACATGTCATAATTTTTAGCGATTTTCCGATTTGAAATGGAAGGTGATATCAAGGACATGGCCTATTTTTTTTGAATAGGTTTTTTTTTATGTACTCACTATTTACCCTGCCAGGGTTCAGAATTTGGAGATTGAAACAAAATTGAGTTTGGGCGGTGGTCAAGGCATCCTTACGCGTGTGCATGGAAATTCTATATTGGCAACAAAGTCGCCATTGAGAAAATTGCACGTCTTTTTTGTGTCGAGTCTAACTCTTTTTTTGTCCCTTTACCCCTAAGAACGACTTTAGGATTCCCTTAGTGCATAGCATATTTTGGGTATGTAACCAGCTTAAATAGGCACTCATAAGGCTTACCATATCAATATTTCTGTGGGTGAGTGTGTCTGGATGTACATTTGATGATAGTTGTTTGAAATATCTGAAAATTAGTCAACCTCTATGCTCCATTGGTATATGTGGGATGGGGGAGTATACACACAGACCTGTAACGGTGCGTAGGTAATAATCTTACAGTATGTACCTTCTCCCTACATCTGAATAAAGTCGTAGAATTTCTTTGATTTGGTCATCACATTTAGATGGTGTATAGGGTATATTCGCATATGTTTAGTCTCTTAAAATTAAACTTTGCTCCTTTGGATACGGTTTTCCTATGAATAACTCTGTGATTGGAACTAAGTAGTATTAAAGCGAAACTAACCACTGTACAAATTTTTATGCATAAGGAGAATATTAAAATATTTAAAAAATGACTCGCCAAGCCGATGCACAAAGGTCGATGAATAAGCTGTCTGGTAACGGACAGGTAGAAAAAGTTGTTGAGCTTCGTTCCTACGACGCCGAGGCGGTGCAAGTCCGAATGGCAAAACTACGTGCAGAAGTCGCACAGAAGAAGTTAGCTGAGTTGAAGAAAGTTGAGGAACTTTCAGATGTCCGCGTGGACGACGCGGACGTGAAACTTTTCGCGACCGAGATGTGTCTCCGCGAAGACGTTGCTCGCCATAAGTTGCAAGAGAAGGGAGGAGATTTAGTGGCTGTGCTACGTGAGGCTGTGAATCTCCCCAAGATACGATTTTAACAGGTATTAGATGTACAGACACCGATCGATACGCGCCGCATCATCCTTAAACGGTGAACATTCGTTTTGCTGTCGCCACTCCTTGCCTCCTTTTCCCAGCCTACCAAATGGGTCTATTTGGGCACTTCTGTTGTCATATTCATGCTTCTAAATTTGAAAAACAGGAATACCAACAAAGAATTCAATGTAGTAATTCCCCACATATAGGATTTCTAATCTAAGATATTTGAAACTGGGTTCTAATTACACTAAAGTACTAAAAAAAGTATATGAGCGCAAACTCTTTGCCTATATTGTCGTAGTAGCATGCATAATTTACTTTCCCTAAGTTTTCGTCACACTCTTACTTCTAGGTATTTTAGTTTGATTTAGGCAAATATGTTGAATCTGCACGAGGTAGAGCACTCTCTAAAAATATACACGATTCTAAATATATATTGTGCTCTAAACATCATTCAGATTTAAGCTGTTTTTCTTCTGCCAAAATGTGCATTCTTTTTCTAAGATGGTATTACTAAAAATGCCCCAGGGTTGAGAGTAGTAACGACCGCACTGATTGTGCCTCATCATGTAGAGTCCTTGGCAGAAAAAAATTCAATATATGTAATCTGAGTTCACCGAAGCAAAGAAGAGAATGTTATTTAGGATACAGCGATACATTGAGCATAACTATTTAACATAGCAACAAAAAGATGCCGAGCTCCCCCACCTATTCGAGTCCTACTCTTACCAAGTCTTCTTGCTATATGGGAGCACTTTACTTTTTGCCAAAGGCACTCTTGCGATGGAGAGTCGATTTCCCTAAAGTGTTAGGTTCAATCCTTTTCACAGTAGCCTTTTCCCAACACTATGCTTAGATTCACCGGAGCGAAGAAGCTTCACCCGCATGGTGTCGATTTTAACTTCGTGATAATTATTTGCACGCCGAAAAACTCAATTGTGTCCCATGAAAATTAATTTCCATTCATAAAAAGTAATTTCACTCCGTAGTAATCATTCTCGCGCACGCTGTCATTTACACCAATCGGGGGCCTCGGGATTAAAATGGCCGCGATGTGGCGAATTTTGCTGCGGCGTGAGATTTGGCCGCTGCGGGGCCTAGAATTGTCGCAAACAAAAATACCTGTCCGCCTCTAATATCATTTCAATTTTAGCGTGTGACGGGCACATGATTTTTTTCACCTTACCTGGGGCGAAAAATCCTGGAGGGTTGTGGCGCCCCCTCGTGCGTAAAAACAAGATACCTTCTTGTTATGGAGCAAATCCAATTTTGATGGTGATTTGGCGTTTTGGGGTCGTGCGCGTTCTTGTGCTCAACCTACTAAAGCTGAAAATGCTCGTGCCCGATGATCCTTGATAAGTGGTTCGAAACGGAAATGCCTCATTGCCCCTGGCCCCCGCGCGCGGTATCCCCAGCGAGCCAGGGTGCACCTTGCCAATGTGCAAGCATGAGTCTCACGCATGGGGGTGTGTTCAATTCCCTTGCGAGCATATTAGACCGAAAGCTTAAGTGATCATAAAGTAAAGCTAAGTGTTCTGACTGCATTAACTATTCATCTTCCTATTGTCTTGTGGAACTTAAATGATTTGTTGGTCCTTAAAAAGGAAGTTTCTAAAAATAGCAGCTTTCATCTTTAAAAACTACTTACATGGTCTTGACTCGAATTATCAGCATCGAAAGTGATTTTTAGGATACCTACTCCACGGGAAAGAAAAATTGCGAACATTATCGGCACTAATAGCAATGGAACCCCGTGGTGGTAGCAACTTAAAGAATTACTCAAGCTTCCTTTTAGAGATGTGATGTATTGTTGCAGGTCTCTTTGATGATTTAGAAAATTAGACGTACGTTTATGTTTCACCTCGTTTGTGTCATTACCTGGACAGTTACATGTTAGTTTCGACCTACAGTATGTGGTTTAACCATCTTGATATGTTTACCCACTTTTTATCTGATGTCCATAAGTTGAGCATCTGGTAGTCTAAGACCCTGAGGTGGAGACGAGAACAGACAATAATTTTATGTCTTAACTACTAGAAGAGCTTTCGTTTGCTTAATTAGTGCCTGTAATGTGATACGCTTATTCAAACCCTTAATCCGGGTTCCCAAGATTTGAAATAACTGAAGTATGAATTGTTTTGTGTGAAACACAGAAGCCAGTAAACGATTTGGTACTGATCAAAATATATGCACCAAAAGGAAAGTTGTCCTTTAAGGATAGATTACTTAAATGCTGAAAATTTAAAAGCTTCAATAAAACGATTCCCATAAGCTTCGGCTGATTATTCTTTGAGTAGATTCATTATAAACAATGTGGCAGGAGTTTTGGGTTCTGGTCATTTTTATCATATCCTTGTTTCTATTACACCATTACGTTGCCCCATTGCTCTTTCCCATGGCAATTCACCGGATTGGTGTTATCAAAATCGACAAGATTTCTGATCAGCTTTTTCTCTACCAAAGTGGTAGTGTTCCATCCATAGTCTCGAACAATGGATTAAGACGGAAAGCAAATGTGAGGCGTCGGAAACTACCATATGAAGCGGCACAAGTGTAATTGATATCCCAAATTCCTTTAAAGGGAAATGCCTAAAAAGAAATAATCCTTGTTATTATCCCTATGAAGGACTTTCCGATAGGTACAATTTTATTTCTTAG